CACTTGCTTTGAACATGCGATAAGGGTGGTTAAATACTTAACTTAAATGGAACTGCTTGCATTTATAAAGAAAATTGTACTTAGCTTTTTGCGCAAACTAATACCACAACACAATGTGTTGATAGATGCAGTGAAGGTTTATATTATGACTCCACCAGCAACTGTGTATAATGTCAAAAAGGTTTCCCTTCCTATGATTAATCAACTTGCTTAGACACATGCGATCAGGGTGGTTAAATACTTAACTTAAATGGAACTGCTTGCATTTATAAAGAAAATTGTACTTAGCTTATTTCATAAAATAATAACACAACACAATGTATTTCTAATTGCAATTCAAATAGATAATTTGTTGATCTAAATAATTAGACATGTTATACTTGTAGTGGAGATACATCTTTCATAAATTATGATGATTCTAAGAAAAATGGAACTTGTGTTAGTAAATGCAATGAAGGTTTATATTATAACTCTACCAGCTACTGCCTTTAATGTCAAAAAGGTTTCCCTTCTTATGATTAATCAACTTGCTTTGAAACATGCGATAAGGGTGGTTAAATACTTAACTTAAATGGAACTGCTTGCATTTATAAAGAAAATTGTACTTAGCTTATTTCATAAAATAATAACACAACACAATGTATTTCTAATTGCAATTCAAATAGATAATTTGTTGATCTAAATAATTAGACATGTTATACTTGTAGTGCAGATACACCGTTCATAAATTATGATGATTCTAAGAAAAATGGAACTTGTGTTAGTAAATGCAATGAAGGTTTATATTATAACTCTACTAACTACTGCCTTTAATGTCAAAAAGGTTTCCCTTCTTATGATTAATCTTCTTGCTTAGATACTTGCGATAAGGGTGGTTAAATACTTAACTTAAATGGAACTGCTTGCATTTATAAAGAAAATTGTACTTAGCTTTTTGCGCAAACTAATGCCACAACACAATGTGTTGATAGATGCAGTGAAGGTTTATATTATGACTCCACCAGCAACTGTGTATAATGTCAAAAAGGTTTCCCTTCCTATGATTAATCAACTTGCTTAGACACATGCGATCAGGGTGGTTAAATACTTAACTTAAATGGAACTGCTTGCATTTATAAAGAAAATTGTACTTAGCTTATTTCATAAAATAATAACACAACACAATGTATTTCTAATTGCAATTCAAATAGATAATTTGTTGATCTAAATAATTAGACATGTTATACTTGTAGTGGAGATACACCTTTCATAAATTATGATGATTCTAAGAAAAATGGAACTTGTGTTAGTAAATGCAATGAAGGTTTATATTATAACTCTACTAACTACTGCCTTTAATGTCAAAAAGGTTTCCCTTCTTATGATTAATCAACTTGCTTTGAAACATGTGATAAGGGTGATTAAATACTTAACTTAAAT